GGCGTGACGCTGCCACACAACTGGCACTTGGATCCGGAGAGGATCCCAGTGCCAGCGGCGCGCCGCTGTTGGCACGGGCAGACACGGAGGAGGTGCGACCCTGACGATAGCTGCTGACGCCAGAGCATCGCCGCGAGCCCGCCTACGCAATTGACTCTCCCGCTTGGGAGGTCTGGTTCATGTTCGAGCATGAAGAGTCCATGAGGCGCGGCGTCCGCGACGCACGGCATGGCTCCCCGCCGTTGTTCCTCGTCGTGCGTGACGAGGACCAGGAGGCGGAGGCCGCCTTCCAGGCGGCGCTGGCGGCTGCCATCCAGGAAAGCGAGGAGGACGAGCGGCGCAAGGCGAAGGAGGAGGCGACGGCGTACCAAGCATGCATGACAGAGGCCATGGCGCTCTCTGCTGCCGGCGATTGCGTCATGCCACCATTCTGGCCTCCGGCCTCCGTCAAGGCCGAGCCAGCGCCGACCCCCATCAAGCCGGAGAGCTACTCATGGAACGGGGTGGTGCGCAAGTGGGTCAGCGTGCCACCCATCTGGTTTGGGGCGACGCCGACGCATGAGCAGCTCTACCTCGAGCAATGGCGTCAGTAAAGGCTGGCCGAGTAGCGCTGCGAGGGTGAGTACCTTAAGCAGCTGGAGCGCGGAGGAGGAGCACCTTGCCTGCAGTGGCCCAGCCCAGCCGGCGGGGGTACAAACAGCGGCGTATGACATCGCTACAGCCTGGGCGACAACGTTCCCCTGGGCTGGCCCGATGCCGACGCTTATTGACCTCATCGACCCCGGCGACAACGACAAGGATGCCTAGGGCAGCGCGCCTCCTCGTAGTTTTTAGTTTTATTTAATGTTTTAATTAATGTATAAGTGGACTCATGGACTCTCGGCGACCTTTGTGGCCGGCATTAATGTTTAATTAACGTTTTTATTTTTCAAAATGTTTGCGATGTTTTTTTCATGCGACCTTAAAAATGGGTCGGACCAGCATAGGGCGCAAGCGCCGACCCAAACGCGAAAGCGGACATGAGTGTCCGTCAGACCGACCCAAATGGACAAAAAGCGAATAAAATCATCGTTCGTTTAGGTCAGGCGCGTTAGAGTTGCTCCAAAGCTATGATACACATTTTTGCGTACTCTCAAATATTTCTTTACAGAATCTGAGAGACTATGCAAAATAAGGCAAGGGCCTGAAAGGTTAGAGCATCTCCAGTCGCGCTCCCAAAAAGTTCCCCAAGCCACTTTTTGGGCGCCGGCGGGCAAAAAACGCCCCACTCGGCCCCCCAGAAACCCGTTTTGTGCCGGATTTGGCGATATTTACTGCCGGCACACCCATCCCAGCCCCAGCCCCCTTGGGGGCAGCTGGGACGCCGTCATTTGATTTTTACATGCACATGCCCACTTGCCAGCCCCTCTCTCTCCTCTCATTTCTCTCTTTTCTCTCTCCTCTCTCCTCTCTTTTTCATTCCACCACCTACCGCACACAGCTGCCATGGCTCTCGTCCCGGAGCTCCCCCTGGCGCGGCGCCCATGTCTCTCGTATAGGATGCAGCCCCGACGCCTCCCTCACCTGGGAGCTCGCGCAGCCGGAGCAGAGCACACATGGCCGGGGAGGGGCTCGCGTGCCTGACATGGAGTAGAGAGCGCACATGGCTGGGGCAGGGCTCACGCTCGCGCGGTCTGGGTGGTCGGGCGCGTCGTAGAGCTGCTCGCGTGGAGGAGGGAACTGGACGAAGGGCACGAGGATGGAGGGCTGGTGGTGCGCAGCCGTAAGGCCCGCGCCAAGGAGCGTGCGACGGACAGTGGCGGAGGGGCCGGTGAACGTGGCGTAGTACATGGGAGCTATGGCGGCCTCCGGGCCGTCCAAGCCGCCTCCCCCATAGCTTCGGTGACCGAAAGACTGGCATGTGCTACTCTCCTCCTCGTCATCCTCTGGGCTGCCGTGCCGGTCCTGGCAGCGCGCGCACGCGCATGGGAGGATGATGCCGCTCATGCTCAGGTGGTCGTACTCGGGGGCGCGGTGGCTGCGACGACGGCCTTCCCGAAGAAACGGGGACACCGACGACAGCGTAGTCCCTAGCGACGGCGAGGAGGGAGGGGAGAGGGAGGGAGAGGTAGGCGGAGGGCGGGAACTTGGGGACGGGGAGCTGCGACTTGAGTGCCAGCACGTGCTCCAGCCAGTTGCACTTCCACATCCGGGCCACGTCCACGGCGAGCCAGCCGTTGCACTTGGCGGCCATCCGGTCGGTGCCGCGGGACACGAGCACCTGGCAGCACCGGACGCCGCGTAGTGCAGCGGCGTGCTCCCGGCGCCGATGGCCGCCATGGGCACCGCGGCATTGGGCTGCGTCTGCGCGTCTAGGGACGCCCGCTCGTCGACCAGCAGGACAAGATGGCGGAGGGGCCGGTGAACGGGCGTCCTCGACGGTGTCGAGCTGCGGGGTGCTGCCAGACGTCCTCGAAATGCGTCTTGGGTGATGAGACGGTTGGGAAATTTTGCCTCCCCAAACCTAAAATTCCGCCGACCCGATTTCAAGCGGCAAAAAAAAGACATCATGGGGCGCCAACGAGTGGAGATGCTCTTAGGGTGTGTTTGGTTTCTCGTATTGCATCTGGTTCGCACCCGCCATGCAAATACTGGATGTTTGGCACCCTGCATGCTTAACTGGGCCTGGCCCGATGGATGCAAAAACGGCCTCGCAACCAGGCTAAGCGGAAACGCAGATTTCTTGCGTTTCTCGCGTGCAGGCTCGGTGGTTGGCTTTTCTTCCTATGCCCTCCGTCTCGCGTCCAGACCAAGCGCCGCCGCCGTCCGCCAGAGCATCTCGTCAAGCGACGGCCCGGCCCCCCATCAAGCGCCGCGTGGTGAGGTGAGCTCCGCTTCCACATCGCCCGTCGTCGTCGTCAAGCCCCGTTGCCTCGTTTGCCTCCATCAAGCGTCGTCGCCGCCGTCCATGGTCAAGCGTCGCCGCCACCGTCCTGGTCAAGCGTCGCCGCCACCGTCCTCGTTCGTCGTCCACGCCGGATCCAGTCATCTTGCGCCGCCCCACACCAGGTCTTGCCGCCGCACGCTGGGTCAGGCTGCCTCGCGCCGCCGCAAGCGAGATCCCATCGTCTGGAGCCGTCGAATGATCCCCGTTTCTCTCTGATTTCAGTGACATTCAGAAGAATCTGCACCTCGTACAACTATATGGTACAGTTTCACCAAACACCAATCTTGGTTCATTCTTGCATCGGCTCAACCAGGCCACACTCAGCCCGCATCCCCCGTGCAATGCAGTCTGAACGTACGAAATCACTAATTAAGGAGTACTCGTTGCAAAGAACACTCCACTTTTCCAGGTCGCGATAAGTGGCGCACATGTAGCACGCCACTTGTAGCAACCTGGGAGTTTTCCTTTTTTTCGTAGATCCGTTTATTCAAAACGTTTTATCTCTTAAACCGTGCATCCAAATCTCGAACCGTTTTCACCATTGGATTCCTCGCGTCGAGATCTTCAAAACTAGATCCCATGTTGATAGGTTTTGACGAACTTTTTTTTCATGAAAAAAACCGGGTGAAAAACCGAACCAGGAGCACGGTTTTTTCCCTTTCCGAAAGAGGCACGCTCGTGCCTCTCGCAAAATCACAACCGTACCTCTCGTGGAAGCAAAACCATGACTCTCATGTAAGAAAAAAAAACAGAAAACATGTTTTTTCCGTTTCCGAGAGGCACGGCCGTGACTCTCGCGAAAGCAAAACCGTGACCCTCGCGAAAGAAAAAAAAACAGAAAACACGTATTTTTTCCCTTTCCGAGAGGCACGGCCGTGACTTTCGCGTAAGCATAACCGTGCCTCTCGCGGAAGCAAAACCGTGACTCTCACGAACAAAAACAACAGAAAACATGTTTTGTTTTTCCTTTTCTGAGAGGCACGGCCGTGACTCTCGCGAAAGCAAAACCGTGACTCTCGCGAAAGAAAAAAAAACAGAAAAAAACGTTCCGAGAGGCACGGCCGTGACTCTCGCTAAAGCACAACCGTGCCTCTCGCGGAAGAAAAACCGTGACTTTCACGAAAAAAAAACACGTTTTTTCGCGAAAAAAATTCAATTTTTTTATCGAGAAGCTAAGAAAGACCGGGAGAAAACCAAAACGTCAAAAAAACCCGGAAAAAAATCGTTTAAAAAGCCGAAAACGCGTGCGAAAAAAAATTCAAAGGGAGCGTCCAGAGCGCGACACGTGGCGAATGACTGAGAGCGTGCCAAGTGGCGCTGATCGTTGCGAGGCTGCCGAAGAAGCGCTCGTTAACTAGTTGCCCCCCTGAACGTATCAGGAACCAAACACGCCCTTAATAAGGGTCTGTTTGGTTCGAATAAGTCACCTGACTTATAAGTCAGGTGACTTAAAATCAGTGACTTATAAGTCACGCCTGCTTGGTTATCACCTGATTTATAAGTCACATGAGCATACCTTTCTACCTTGTTTTTTTATGTAAAGGTGATGAGACTCATGCAAAAGGGATGGCTTATAAGTTTTAAGTTGGGGTAGAGCAACTTATGACTTATAAATTGGGGTGACTTATAAATTGAGTCGGTTTGACAAAATAAGTCACTTTTTACATTTTTCGACTTATAAATTGATCACTTATTTAAAACCAAACAGGGCCTAACCGATTGACTGCGCCATCTCAGCCCACCGCCGTGCGGTCCCAGGACAAAATCTCCGCCGAGCAGAACAAGGAAGCGCGAAACGGAAAAAACCACGCGCGGTTCCGAACGAAGATGGCAACCGTCCCCCCGCTCGATCCGACTACTCGAATTCGGACGCGAAACTTAATTAGTCGACAAAGGTCGCGCGGCGCTCCGCGAAGGCGCGGCGGCAACCCCATCTACGCAGGCCGCCCGCCGCACTCCGATTTCAAGCAGGAATCACGGACCAGCCCGATCCCCCCGCCCATAGAAACCAAGATCCGCATCTACGGATTAGGGTTTACTACGATTGGTATTTGGTGAGCAGCTTCGAAAGGGGATGGGCACGGTTGGCGCTTGGAGGCGAGCACAGGATGGTTCCGTCATTACCGGTGAAGCCGTCGTGGACCTGGATCGATCTCCCATCGCCGGTGATGGCGGCGGCGGCGGCCAGCACGAGGCCCCGGACACGGCGGGCACGCGGGCCTCGCCCATTGACGTCGAAGCGCTAGGCGACGAGGTGCGTTTGCTCTCTGCCCCCTTGTTTCAATCACCATGATTTTATTTTGACATTGAGATGATGTTTTGTTTTAATAGGGGAGGTCGAGAGCTAAGATAAAGCGCCGTGCGGTTGTTGTGGATCTGGAGGCGGATGCTGATCAGGAAGGTGAGTTTACTGCTGATCTCAAGTAGTTTAATACTGCGAGTGCTAAATTGCAAATCATGGGTTAGTAGTTACCGCAGAAATTGAGTACTTGGTTCAATTTACTTCTACCTTTTATGTTCATGTTCCGATTGGCGCATATTTCTTCTTTGGGATAAGTGTGAAACTGAACTTCAGATTTTTATTCCACATGCTCTGTGTTTTATTCCACATGCTCTGTAGTTTATTGTTACAGCAAACTTCAGTCTAATGGAGGAATAAATAAGATGTCATAAATATTAGACTGATAAAGACGTTTATTTGGGCAGCATCTGATCCCATGTTTTCCTTGCGACTAAAGATTATGTTTTCCTTGCGACTAAAGATTATGTTTTCCTTGCGACTAAAGGTTGTGGTGATGCAAGAACATTTAGCTGTCTCAGTGGGAACAAAAGGCGGAAGGTTCCACCTGTTATATGCCTTTCTCCGGACAGGGAAGAAAGATCCAGCAATCAGGTTTTAATTTTCTTCTTTTGTTTTGTGAATTAAAGTTTTTATGCTTTACAGATTACCACAATAAGCGTATGTATTATTTTCTCAAGGTATATGGCATCTATCTTTGTCCACTAAACTTAAGCAAACCGGTAGAGTGGAACATCTATAATTATGCTACATCTGTGCCGTGCTTTGCTCTCTCTTTCTCTCTTTTCAGAATATTCAGGTGGGCACTGTGCAATGCACTAGAGTGTACATATATATTTCCATGTATTTGTTGAGCAGAAATGGAACCAGTGACATGAAACTTTGATCCATATCCAACATCTTCTGAACACTGCACTACTAATATTACATGCTCTCAATTGATAATTTTGAACCTGTACCTTCAATTTTGTTTTGAAACACCGCATCCTTATTTCTGGTTGAATTGTGATTCTTTTGTGCTGTACATGGGCTATGTCGTAGGCTCACCCTTTCTAACCTTCACAGCAAAACAGCACGGTGCGAGTCAGTAGACCAACTGCCAATGCTTCTCCAAAGGAACCGACGTTCACTTGCCCGGTGTGCCTGAACAAGATGGAGCTGCCGTCCGCTACGAGCTGTGGCCATGTCTTCTGTGAGAAGTGCATCAAGGCGGCCATCAAGGCCCAGAAGAAATGCCCTACTTGTAGGAAGAGGCTAGGGCCGAAGAGCTACCGTCGAGTTTACCTCCCTGCAACTGCTGATCAAGTCTGAGCTTAAAGTCCTCCATTTTTTTCATACAGTACTATCTTGGCGGCAAACAGCTTAGGATGGTGCGCAATCAAGAAGTTAGAGCCGCTGCCTTTTGCAAGTATTTCATGAACTTCATAGCGTGTGACTTGTATTCTGGAACAGGTCGGTGACTATAGATAGAGAGTGATGCTCTGGTCGGTTGTGTGCATCGGTCGATGCACCACCTGGGGCGCTACCTTAGTTTTCTTCTAAGAGATACTGCTTGATGATCTTGACTTGAGATCATGGTTCTTGGATTTGCATATGTCCTTCTGAAGTGTGGTGCAATAGTAGGTTTTGCATTTTCTGTGTCTGGCATAATTTTCTTGGGTGACAATGACGCATCAGTGTCCTTTCTCCATTCCATGCACATAAACAGCCAGCATGCAAGTTTCGGATCAAACGGTAGATCTCCTGAAAAACGAAGAGGAATTTTGGACTTGTCCCTATGTTGATGTCGCAACAGCCGGCTAACCCAATTCTCTGAAGTGATGGGAGGTTCTGACCCTTAGAAAATGGCTGAACCCTTACCCTTCATTGGCCGATCAGATTCGCCCGAACTGTTGACGAACATGTCATCGCTCTCGCACCAGCAAGGATTGCTTCTTTTGACGAAACATCTTTCAGAGAAGCTCCACTAGCCTGTGTTTCTTACTTTATTTATTATTCCTCCTTACTTAATCCTTTAGGTCTTCTTTTTCTTTCAGTATCGCTATCCGGGGGGAAGGGCGGGGAATAGCATAATATACTCCAGCACATGACAGTATTCCTCTTTTTCACCCCAAAAAAGGATCTTCAATCAGGAGAGCGCCCCGTGCCCGGAGCAGATGCCGAAATGGGCTTCGATTGGACCTGCCTTGATTTGGACACCCACCATGTGTTGAATGGAAGCAGATCGAGATTTCGATCATCATGACCGCATGAGCCTGAAACCTCAAGGTTCGTTCATGGGAATCATGGCGCCTCACTCAAGAACCTTCCATGCATCATGTACGCAGGCGGTCAGGCCCACTCCCCGGGCCGGGCTACCCACTGTATTGTGGGCCTCGGTCATGTGAGCCTGGCCCGGGGGCCACCTGCCGCCGGTTGACGACGTACCGCCCCTGTCATCACTCGTCACCGAATGCTTCAGGTTTGTGCGTGAGATCAGTCGATTCCTCGGGCGCGCGCCAAAGTATGGCGTGGATTACCTTCATTTGCTCTCGGCGTGATGACGGAAGTATGGTCGGCGTGGACATGGGGCGCAGCAGCACCCAACAATGTCGAACGGGTCATTTTCTTATAGCGATTTTTGAAAGAAGAAGAAGCTTCAGTGTTCTCGCTGTTGCGCTTTTGTGCGCTCTAGAGTCTAGACCATAGTAATGGCTCAGTGCTCATGGTTGGCAGCATTTCAGGACACGAAGTGTTCTTTTTTACGGGCAAGAAGACAAGCTCTTTAACTCTGTTCGGAGATGTAAACTTTGGAAGCGTTCCTACTCTCTTGGAGGAGAGCGGTGTTGGGTATATATTGATTAGTGACAGGAAAAGCCCCTGCCGTGGCGTACAAGTTTCAGCCGATCGCTTGGATGCAGCTATCGATGAGGAGACCGAGATACAGAAGGAGTCTAAGATAGATAAGGGAGGGAATAGAGATAAGTCATGTTTAGATTACAATAAGATTAAACTGAATATTCTAACACCCTCCCTTAATCTAAACTATCTTAGATTTAAATTTCTTTTGAACTCCTCAAATGGCCTGGATGGAAGAGCCTTAGTAAATCCGTCTGCCAACTGATCCTTGGATGGAATGAAACGTATCTCCAACTTCTTGTCTGCTACTCTTTCTCGTACAAAATGAAAATCAATCTCAATGTGTTTGGTTCTAGCATGAAAGATAGGATTGGCAGACAAATAAGTTGCTCCTAAATTATCACACCATAAACAAGACACACGATGTTGCTTAATCCCTAATTCTGTAAGTAAGGATTCCACCCAAATGATCTCTACAGTTGCGTTTGCCAACGATTTGTATTCAGCCTCTGTACTCGACCTTGATACAGTTGCCTGCTTTCTGGCACTCCAAGAAATAAGATTAGATCCAAAAAATACTGCAAAGCCTCCTGTTGATTTTCTATCATCACTGCAGCCGGCCCAATCAGCATCAGAAAAAGCACTAACAAGAGTTGAATTAGAGCGTCTAAACGGAAGACCCAGACTTGCAGTATGCTTTATGTATCTTACAATCCTTTTAACAGTTGTCCAGTGTGCAGTAGTAGGTGCATGCAAATACTAACAAACCTTATTAACAACAAATGATATATCTGGCCTTGTCAATGTCAAATGTTGCAAAGCTCTAACAGTACTCCTGTATCTTGTGCTTTCTTCTTCTTTAAGAGGTTCACCTTCAAAAGCTGAAAGTTTCTCTGAAGAAGATAACAGTGTAGGTGACGGCTTACAGTCCTTCATTCCCATCCGAGTTACAAGTTCAGTAGCATATTTTTCTTGATTCAATACTATGCCATCTCGAATCTTCTTAACTTCAATACCCAGGAAGAAGTGTAGATCACCAAGATCCTTAAGAGCAAATTCTGAACTTAGATCACGCAGAAGAGCATTAGTGGCATTTTGTGAAGAACTTGCAACTATAATATCATCAACGTAAAATCAGCACAAATATAACTGTGGTTGCCTTATTATAAAAGAAAAGTGATGTATCAGCCTTGGATGCAACAAAACCAAGATGCCTTAACTGAGAGCTTAACCTTGAGTACCATGCTCTTAGTGCTTGTTTCAGGTCATAAAGAGCTTTGTCAAGCTTGCACACATAGTGAGGTGTTTTCTTATTTTCATACCCAGGTGGTTGTCTCATGTAAACCTTCTCTTCCAGAACACCATGCAAAAACACATTCTGAACATCTAGCTGCCTTAAACTCCATCCTCTGGACACAACAATAGCTAGTACAAGTCTGATAGTTCCAGCTTTAACAACAGGTCTGAAAGTATCTTCATAGTCTAAACCATAACGTTGTTTAAAACCTTTTGCAACTAGACGTGCCTTATACCTATCAATTGAGCCATCCGCCCTTTTTTGATTCCGTAAACCCACTTACAATCAATGATATTTTTACCTCTCTGTTCTGGTACAAGATGCCAAGTCTTGTTTCTCATAAGCGCGGAGTACTCTTCATCCATTGCATTTTTCCACTTTGGATCTCCAAGTGCAACCTCTAAATTTGTTGGCTCTCCTGCGGTACACAACATGCCATACGGTACGGTACCATCAGTTCTAATTTTTGGATTTTTTATACCTTTCCGTAGTCGGATTGTAACACGTGAGACAACAGTTGGTTGAGGTTGAACATGACGTGTAGGTTGTTGCACAGGAGATGATGCGGAAGATCTGGGCACAAAAGATCCCGACAGAGCATTTGACCCGCTTTGCACAACGGATCCAGGCCCAAAGCTAGTAGCATGTGGTGTGGCCGAAGATGTTGCTTCTTCAAAACTGGTGGCCATAGAAGATCCTGGATTCTCCTCTGTCTGCACCTGTATGTAGCGCGTGAGGCGCAGCGGCCTCGAGCCAGCCACTGTCGCGCCCGTCCCTGTCGTTTCTGCATGCCCGCGCGTGGGGCGCGGAACCAGCGCTGCATCGGGTGACGTGGCGCCCATTCGTTGGATGGACCGGCTTCTGGCCAGCACATGCTCCTAGGCAGATCCCCGCGCGCGATCCGAGAGCTCCTGACGCACAGGAGTTCTAGGTGACACTGGATTCTCCTCGTGTCCAGCGCCAGCGTCTTCTTCCTCCAATGCATGAAATATATCATCGTTTTCAGCCAAAATTTGATCATTATGTGCACCGTTTTCCTCTGCGTTTTCTCCATGACCCTGCACAGGCAAAGACACATTACCGGCACTAGTAGAATTATCATTTTGGTCAGTACAATTGTCGCCCCCATGATCAAAATCTCGGAGAGTGGGTGGAAGAAGAAGGATTTCTTTTCTAAGAAGGGCTCCGACATTAGGATGAAGTGATGCAAAGGGAAAAACAGACTCGTCAAAAACGACATCACGAGATATGTAAACCATGCCAGTAGAAATATCTAGGCATTTGACTCCTTTGTGAATTGGGCTATACCCAAGAAAAGCACATTGCTTTGAACGGAAGGCAAGTTTGCGTGTATTGTAGGGTCTAAGGTTGGGCCAGCATGCACAACCAAACACACGAAGAAATTTATAATCAGGAGTAGTACCATAGAGTCGTGTGATAGGAGTTTCAAACTTGATGACTTTACTAGGGAGCAAGTTTATGAGATATGTGGCAGTCAAAAATGCTTCATCCCAGAAATTTAGTGGCATGGATGCATTTGCTAGTAGGGCTAGCCCTACCTCAACAACATGATGATGTTTTCTTTCTGCAGAGCCATTCTGTTGGTGGGCATGTGGACATGAAACATGATGCGAGATGCCAAGTTGCTGAAAGAAAGAATTGAGTTTCTTGTATTCACCACCCTAGTCAGTTTGCATGTCAATGATCTTAGTGTTTAGTTGTCTTTCAACGAGATTTTGAAAATTCTTGAAAACTTGAAACACTTCAGATCGTTTCTTAAGAAGATAGATCCAAGTAAATTTGCTATAGTCATCAATAAAGCTTACACAATATAGGTGTCTACCAACTAAAACAGGAGCTGGCCCCCAAACATCCGAGAATACAAGTTGTAAGGGTGCAGTGGAAATACTGGTAGAGATAGGATATGGTAGCTGATGACTTTTAGCTTGCTGACATGGATCACAAACTGACTCAATGCTAGACTCAAAAACATGGGGAAGCTTATTTCTGCTAAGAACAAGTTTAACTATAACTGATGAAGGATGACCTAATCTACTATGCCACTTTGCAGAAGACGGCTTGATGGCGACAAAAGCTTGCTTATTTGAAGACGACGATGACGATGATGATATAAGTGGGTAAAGACCACCCACGCACTTGCCCCTAAGAAGTATTC